GCTAAACAGGACTAATTCTCTGGAATGAAATATACCGAAGGGGGCAGACCATTTACAAGACGGTTATCAGAGCAATATTTCAAGTACCGGCCACAGCCTCTGCCCATTAAAGTGTGTCTGATGTATTTTAGGGCCAGTTTATGCGCTGCTCTGGTCTCAGGGAGGGTTATACATTGATAGAGGATGTCTCTAGTCTGACTCTTCATACGAAGGCAGTAAGAGGAGAATCCTCATAACAGCATCTTTGCTTTTTCTTAAAGAGGAAGTTGAGTAGGTTAATTTGCTAAACCAATCCAGTTTTAGGGTTATGGTGAGACATATGTTGGTATAAGAAAAAAGGCCTCAGATCTGCTGTATTACGGTATTTACTGAAAATGTGTTTAAAATGTGTTTTAAGTTTTAATATGACATATTGATAATTACAGTCATAATACTGCAACCTGTTATGCTTTATTATTATGGTGCTTGTGATTCACAGATTTAAAAATATCAACCTCAGACCTCAAAAGTTTCTAATTGCATTTTGAGCTGAATTTTCTACATTTTGCTATTTTGCTCTGTATATATATCATATTTGTTAGAATATTACAAATGGTTAATAGTTTGGCTATCATCCAGCCAGTGTTTTATTTTTATTTTTTGCAATAAGCAAAATGCGAAGAGGCTTTTATTTAGCCAGATTGTGTATGGTAACAAGTGTGGGAGGGGCAGGACGGCGTTAGTCTGTGCTGTGGTCAGAGAAATACGGATCCATCCAGAACTTCGACACAAAAGCCTGTTTATGATCAAACTTTAATCCATAGAAACAATGACTATCACTTATCATTAGTCATTGACAGGATTGACACTGCTAACCAGTGTTTGTGTTTCAACAAGTTTTTAACTAAAAAAATGACTAAACATGACACATGATTAATGTTAAAACTGAAAAATAAATAAAATATACTATAACTCTGGTTACTAAAAAAATTATATTTTTAAAATGTTAGTTTCTCCTTTAACTATAACGATATTAATAATTTCAAAAAGAAAGAAACAACTTTATAATATGCAAAAAGATGTTATTGTCAATCAACTGAATCAAGATAACATTTCTTTGCAAATTATAGCACTGCTTTAAATATTGCTTGTCTATATTAAATTTTTACCAATTATTTGGGTAAAGTGCCAATTTTTCGAGTTTGACTTACCAGGCAAAGGTGTGATGTTATTGGAAATGGACAAATGTGTTTTAGTATGAGCTACAGTTATAACATGAACTAGCATACAGCAATGTTACAGTTTTGCAGTTCATATTTTATACTGTAGAAGAGATTTAGTGAAATCTGAGCAGTTTCTTTACAAAATTCAATATTCCATCTTTTGAAGAATGATGAAACTCCTACTAGTCTCTTCTAAATCAACAAACTGTATAACAATTTGCAATGTAAGCTTTGAAATGCTGCCCTACCACTACTTTAAAAGCTAGTTTTGATTGGTTGTCCCTGTGCCGGGTGAATTACGGCATCCAACACTGAGCGTACAGCAAAAACCCGACAATGGATTTAAAGAAATAAATCAGAATTGTTTTGATTCTGGGCTAAACAAACTAACCTAATTGTATGGCTTTTACACCTTCATACGTTACTTAATACACAATGGACTAGTTATACCTAAGATTTGTTTTCCTTGGCATTTTCAGGCATTAATGACACAAATAAAATAAACTCAACAAATATTGAAAATTCTTAATAGTCTCTGTTTTTTTGTTGTTGTTGTTTTGTAATTTTATAAATCATTTAATTATTTTAGGTGGAAATAATCTAAGACTGCTTTCAGTGAAATTATTCTATTTATTACTTTGAATTACTTAAAATTACGAATACAAGTCAAATTTCATCACTGCTTTTAATTTCAGACGCATTCACAGAAAAGATGAGACTATGATACATGAGCACATGATGAGCTGCTTATATAGAAAAATAACTTAACTAGATCAAAATTGAATTATATTTACTAAAGGCGTCAGGCACATTCCCTGCTTCTTCATCCCACCACAAGTAAGTGAAGCAACACTGATGAGCGTCTGAGATCCCGAGGTCAGATGTTCACCTCTCATCACCAACCAGATGCTCAATGAATGTGTTTTCACCCTAATGACTTAAACAGCTATAACTAAAAGCTGCTGCTATCAGCTGCAATATCCAACCCTGATAGCTGCGCCCTGTGAGTATTAATACATTCCACGTTTAAGGCTGCTTGCACCAAATTGCCAGCACTATATGAAACCGATGAAGTTCATATGCTGGAAAAGTGTTTTAGATCCTCCTGAGAGGTGCGGCCTGTCGTGTCAGAGGCAGCTAACAAGCAAGTGACAGAAAGTAAATGAATACAATATCCTGCTAGCAATGTAACAATGTCCAGCTGTTCAGTTCGTTAAAGTGTAATCAATCACCTGGAAAACAAGGTGATCTGCACAAAAAACTATACCCATTTATCTACCTGAGAACTTTAAAGTGATAAGACACCAATTGGCACGTGAGGTAAATAGTTCTTGAAGCGCATTAGCGAGAAACAGTGTATTGAGGTTGATTATCTCAGTGACTAATGCTCTGTCACTCTGTAGTATGAGAGAGCCCAGCGAGGACCCCCGGTAATGGAGCCTGAGCAGGTGTTGAAAGCGCACTGACATCAAGGGGGAGTGCACTGACAAGAATTTCTGATGAATTTCAATTACTGATCTATTAAGGCTAACGAGCTAAATGGGCAGCCAGAATACATTTGCCAGATAGCCTGAGACGAGACCTGAGGCTTTTTTGTTCTTTTTTTTTTTTTCTGCAGTCTCAGCAGCCAGTAAAGGTGTTGGACATATTTTTCTGCCAGCTGAAAATCCAGCTGTATGCACTGTAAGTATTTGTTATACTTTGGTCATCTTTAATAATGGTTGGTGTTCTCGCTGTTACCTGTTATTTCGAAATATAATGTCAGAATGCCATCTGCTGGAGGTTATGCAACACAAAGGATTTCATGAATGTTTGCTCCACACTGACATCTGCTGGCTTTAAAAGAAAAGGCATTAAGACAAGTTTGGTCTTCAATGTAACTTTCTCCAATTGTATTCTTCATGTAATAACATTATGGTGGCCACAATATAATAATAATATTACTACTAGTAATAATAATAATAAATTTGACTACACAGTTTAAATGAAACAGATTTTTTCCACTTTTCTTAAAATGATTGGATTCATTTGTCTGAATTGAATACATACTTATGTCCTTAAGTTGGACGAGTTTGTTCAATTTTGCATTAATTACGGCACTCCTTCCAGACAGAAGTAGACAAAACTACAAGTCAGTTTTAGTTTGTAGAGTGGTGGATCATTTTTCAGCAGGTCAGCGACCCAAGCACATGGCAAGACCTTAAAGGAGAAGCTTCACACCCGCTCTGTGAATGTCCTGTTCAAGCCTGGCGAAATCTGAAAATGGCTGCAGAGACGTCTCTCATTCAACCTGATAGAGCTTGAGAAAAGCTGCAGAGGTCTGAGCTAAACGTCCTCAAGATATGTGTACTAAACTAAACTTGTGGCTTCATATTGGAAAAAGAAAAGCTTCAGGTTTTTATTGCTCCCAAAGGTGGATCAATAAAAGCTGGGGATGCTTATCTAAATGTGGTTTCTTCATTTTCTATTTTCAATACATTTGCTAAAATCTCCTCAATCTTTTCCCAAATTTCAGGCTCATTTTGCTCTTTAAGCATATCATAAACAAGAAAATATGCTATGAAGAGCAGCTTTTTGAGAGTTTGGACACATTGAATTACAGTATGTGTGAGCAAAAATAACAGGAGATAAATAAATAAATTCAACTGGCAAAGGCCATTTGCAAAACCTACCTAATGATAGTATCTGACGCCTGGTAATCTATTACAGATTTTGTTTAATGAAGAGTTGTTGTGAACTGTGTTCTTAATCCTTTAAACACAGTTTATATAAATATATACAGTTTATATAACTCATATATATAACTCATCTAGATAACAAACTTTTACAATACTGGTTGCTTTCCAAGAGGAAAATAAAGTCCTTTGCCCCAGGCACATTTTCTTAAGGAAAACACACAAAGAAGTATTTTCTACTCAGAGGAATCACACAAGAGGGAAAAATCTTCTGTAACTGTATATTTGTGCTTGTTTTCCATTTTACTGCCTGTTTCTAAAAAAAAAAAGTCTGAGCTTGACCCTCTCTGTTATTTTAGAGACATTATCCTAAGCTTTGTCTTATCAGTATCCTCATGGAAAAAGAAAAACCCTTTTATGCATGTGCTGAAGATTGTTCTCGAGATGTGTTCCTGCAAATGGAGATACTTTGAAGTGTCAGCTGAGAAAAGCACTCAGGAGAGACGACATCACCGACAAAGTGGAAACAATGTTTTGTTTTCTGCATCAAGGGTAATAGATGAACCCCCTCAGTTTATTTTCAAAGATGATTGTTTTAGCTTTGATATCAGTGATGCATTTCAACATATCGGCAGCATAAACAAAGAAAGGAAAAAGCAATAGGTATTAAAAAAAAACATTTTCAGTATGCACATACACAATTTTATGCTCTATGTCCCGGTAGGCTCATTCAAATGTTATTTACACTTTGGATTTAGAAGATGGCAGGATAATCACTGCAGAAAATTGGGATAGAATGATCTTGCCACAGGCATTTTCATATTCAGCATTTCCAGTAAAGTTTCACAACATCTTAGGGTTATAAAAATGCCTATGACTGCAGATCTGTTGCATCTTAAACTCAGAAAACATGTCTTATCCCCAAAACACCTTTGTAGCACTTGCTAAACATCACATAATGGCATTAATGTGGAAACTTTAATATTATAAACGTAAACTAGTTGTGCAAGCGTAGTGAAGTTTTTGCCATTTGTTTTCATCTCATGTTTAAATGTTTGTTTCCATACTTTTTTGGCTTTTACTAGTTTTTCTTGTATAGTCTTTTGTGCAAACAGCGCTTTTGTGCAAACAGCGCTTGCCATTCGTTCATTTATTTTTCATGCAAAGATCAATACAAATATAACCCTTTACACAAACATGTTTCCAAACGGACTCTCCCATTTTGCTATAGAGAACATCCAGTATCGGAGCAGCTTGCTCAGAAATTGTTCCTTGTCTTTTCTAAATGCATCACAAAATCAAAATGTGACCATAAAAGGAAAACATTTTACATCTGGAGTTACATTACTGAAAGTAGTTCTAGGACACAAATGCTGCATAGAGTTAATACGTAAGTTATGCTGACAAAAGCCTTTCACGTTGCCCTAAAGTCACCTGTCTGTGGGTGTAAACAGGTTCCTCCAGGTTTTATAAGGATGGGTCACTGAATCTATGTGCTAACATTATAATCTGGATTTCAGAGTAAATTCAGAACATCATCTTTTCACCTTCAGAATTCAGTCATTTCTATTGAACAACGTAAACTGTTGGGATAAAAACAAGGAGTCATATCACATTAAAAAGTAAAGAAACTGCCTGTCAGTAACACAGCTATAGCAATATTTTTTCTTTACATTTTGCTTCTTTACGCTACTGAATGCTAAGTCATTCAACTTTAGAAACTGGAATAATTTTGTAGTACTTACTTTGGACTTCTTATGGATCTCTTTCAGTAATTATTTTTTTCTTACCAATTTTCCTCAGAAGTCAGATTTGTGGACTGCACAACTGATAGCTTTCTTGTTGGCAGATTTTTCTCTCTTTGGAAATATCATCGTCTTATGTGGCTTCTCTGCTTAACTCCTCACTTGGATGCCTTGCGATGCTTTTTCTGCTTTATTCAAAACTTGGAATATTATTCTAGAACCAAACCCGGCTTACAGCTTCACAGACATGCGAGACGTCGCAGAGCCTGAAAAAAGAAAGAAGAGAAAAAAATCCTATTTTTTTTCTCACTATGTAGATTTTTAGTTTAACCATTTATGACCTTTACATCCAACTCTGTGTGAACATTAAAATGCACAGAAGAGCATATTTGTCAGGAAACTTAAGCCTGAACAAAAATGCAGGTTAGATTGCTGTTGAAGAACACCCTGCCGTCTTTTTCAGCGCTGCACTTGTTCCTGAGGACGTCCAGGATGCCTGTTCTGACCTCTGGGCTGAAGGACTCGTAGAAGTGCTCTGTTCCTGTCATGAAGCTCAGCAGACGTTCTCCAGTTACGCTGCTCCGGTCAAAGCATTCTGTGATGTCAAAGCTGTTGGGAACCGGATGTTCCTCAAATTTAAGGCTTTGGTCCTTGAGGCAGGAAACGATCTCTCCGGATGAACGGTACTCGGTGATGCTTCCAACACACAGCTCCTTCTTGTAAGTCTTCCACAGGATGTCCCAACCACTGTTGGCTGGATTGCAGAGAAAACAAAAAACAAATAAGGTTGAATGATCCGAGCTGATAAAGAAATGCTTGTAATTTTCTCTTCTGTAACAAATAAAACAAACTTGGTTTTCAGTCAGAGCTTACCTTCATTGTGTAAGATTACTGTTAAAGAATACCAAATAAGCAGAGCACTAATAGAAAACGTTTACATTTAAATGGTGCGGCAAACCAGTCAGTCCCAGTCTGCTTACCTGCTTCAACAATGATCATGAGCCTGCCATTATTTTTGAGGAGCCCGTGGTGAAACTTGATACTTTCAGCCAGGCTCTTTACATAGTAGATCATCTGTTGAGGAAAAATGTTTGTTCCTTTAGTTTGACTATTTGCACATTTATTGACTGATTTATTTTTTTCTCTCATTTATAATCAAACAAGAGAAATCACTTCAACTACAAAATGTAGACAATTTTAGTAGACAAAAACAAAATGATGTGTACTTGTGAAGTACAGAGGAAATGACACGATTGTCTACATTTCTTATGTATAATATTCTGAAAAACAAAATGCTTCGCTTGAAGCAATTCTTTCTAGAACTCAACTGCATCCGTTCAATTCTACTTTGCAGTTGTTCAGTAGTTTTTGTTGGTCTATGACATAAAATCCTAAATTAATAAATCTCTGTTTATGGTCACAACATAAAATTGCTTAACAACTTTTGCAAAATAATGTACATAAGAAAACATGTAAGCCCCTTTTATAAATATAACACTGACAGTACAAAAAAGTGACTCATCGCTTTATTTAGTAGAATCAAAGTTTAGCTTAATTCATATTTTCACTGCATTTGATGCATTGAGAGCTCAGGGAACAGGAGACAAAAGGTAAACCATTCTTCAACTTTACCTGGATCATGTGTATGAAGTCAAATTTCTTTATGCCTGCCTTTGCTTTCTCATAGTCCTCACTGGACATGATGTGCCAAGAGAACTGGATCTTCTTAAGGTCAGCAGTCTTGGCTGCCAAAGCTTTCAAGACGTACAAAGAGAATGCAGCAATCGCATTAAGACATGTCATACTTACATCTTGATTCTTGGGTTAATAGTCATTAAAGCTTTTGAAAAAACAGAGACTGGAATGTAGCCACAAAACTCTGATCAGTGCATCTCCTAAATGCTTTGTTTTTATATATGTAGACATTTAATAATACAGAACACAAAATTCTGAATTATCATCACCTTTGAAGTTGGCTGTGAGCTCAGAGCTACCCTCCACAATATCAGCAGTTATGGGAAGAGAAGGGAAGGCCGACTGCAGAAGTGAGAGTATCTGAACATCCATCTCACCTGGAACAGACCGTGAAACGCAACTGTTTGTTTCAGCTCAAGGTCATGAATTTTCTCTTTTGAATGGCACAGCTCTCTTGCTTCAAAGACTTGAATCTTCAAAGACACGTACACAGTTATGAAAGTCGGCCTTCTGTCACCTGAAGAACATGGCTGGGGTTAGTACTAATGTCCAAGCCAGATCTAGAGAAAGTTACTGTTTATTTATAGTCGCGTTGATTATTGCAACAGTGTCTTCACAGGTCTGAGGTTTTCTTTTTAGGTTCCTGTTTATTAAACTTAAATGAGTCTTTTGTTTTACTTTATGACTGAATTGTAAATTATGCTGACAGCAGTTGGTTAAATATCTAAAGGAAATGCCTGTTGCTTTTCTTCTTATCCATATCTTTGCTCTGGAACGTTATAGAGCAACCCTTGGCCAACATTGATCTGTGGATGTCAGAAGTTAATCAGTGGTTCGTTTTCATGCACTCACTGCATTGCAGCTCACAGGTCGTCAATGAATGGCACAGCTCTCTGTCAATTACTGGGATCTTTTTGAATAAATCATTAACTTGAAGTTTAAGTCTGAAACGTTTGAGCACATACCTCCCCCACTCCCAACACCAAGAACATCCAGACTGCTTTTACCAGCTCCAATTCTGTAAAACATGAAAATCATATTTAAAAAAAAAAAAAAGCAGCTAAAATAATGAATTTTACATGAAAGCGAAGAAATACAAGTCAATAATTAAGTAAATAAAGAAATTACTTTTAGCAAACTTTATAAAGTTGCAGACCAAATCGCTCAAATGCGCATGAAGACGACAAAAATTGCATGAATGAGTAATTAGATCATTCCTTGTTATACCTTTGAAATTGTGCAGGCAGGACATTTTGCAGACACTGGACGATGGCCGCGTGCTCTCCGGACTTTTCCAGGTAGAACTGAAAGATGTTGACATTGCAGCCTTCATAACAAGTGTGCGTTTCTGCACTCATGACTTCACCCTGCAATGCACGAACCAAACACTTTTATCCACATTGTAGACTAATTTAACTTTTTCTTTTTAAATTTAGATAACGTAAAAAAAAAAAAAATACCTTAAACTTGTGTTGTTTTTTTTTTTTAGGGAGGAAGGAACAGGAACACAAAGTGCTGCGCTGCCTTCACGCTGCAGGACAGACTCTCCTCCCAGAAGGCTGGACGTTGCGTTACGTAACTGTTGAGCTATAAAAAAAAAAAAGAAATCACTGCAGCTGTTCTACTAAGACAGAAATATGCTCCTGAACTTCTTTGGTCCTTTATGTTTTGGTGATTGGAGGTTCTTGTCTGAAATCATCAATGGAAAACGTGGTTCTCTAATCTACTTTTTAAAATACAAATCATTTAATTGTCATGAAAAGTGTCTTTGCTGTCATAAAAGTGTGAGTGTCTAAAAAATCACAACAGGAAAAATTGCTCCCACTTCTGCGACTATTCTACACTGTGACTGTAGGAGGCGCTGTTCATTTCCAGAAGGTCTGGTGCCACATAATGTATTTTTTTCACCACGGAAAGTTTCATTATCGGCCTTGTAAATGACGCAGGTCTTCTGGTTCTGCTCTGCATCCACAGAGTCAAAACCAAACACAGGAAAAGCAGCATGAGGTTTTAAAGTGAACGGATTAACTTTCAGAAAAATGAACAAATGCTTCAAGCACAGGCCAATTTCTTTGATTTGCTTTTAATCACAAGTTGATCATTGATTTCACTTGTACTCCATTTTTGCAATAAAAGTTCCTTTCCTTGATTAAACCACTGCAGTGTAACATTTGTCTGATGTTTATCACACTCAAAGATTTGCTTTTGTACAGAAATGTGCTTTGCAAAAAAACTTAGCATGGATTGGCAGCATAAAATGTGCCTAGATCATTTTGCGAAATGTTTTTTTTTTTCCAGAGATAAGAAATATGAATTAATTTGAATTTTAGATCACAAGCAAATCAGTGACAGGAATCATTCTATTTGTCAAAGACAGGCTGATAGTTATGGAGCATTGGCCTTGATTAGGTCAGCTAGAAACAAAGTGTGAGGAAAATGTGACATTTTTATTTTTATCTTTAATGAGTATTCTGTTTGTATTCATTGAAATACCTAAAGGAATTCTTTCCCAATTAAAATTTCCACAAATTTATCACAAAAAAGGGAAAAAACTGCTTGGATTTCAATTTAACATTTTGCATTTCAATAATGAAAATCAAATTCTATAATGATTTATGAGAGACATTGCAGCTGCCAAAGCACAGATGGGAAAAAGTCTGAGGGAAAAAAATATCCAAGTCTGCCTTTGGCTTTTCAAAAATATTCTGCATTGTTCATTGATCTTGGAGAAAATTGATGTATTATATGTGTCAAGTTGAGAGTCTACTGTGGCATAAATCTGAATCCCATGATGGAGGACAGGGCTACACGTTGGTAGTTACGACATTTATACATAAATACAATTGACTAAATAAAAACTGCAAAATGTCTGTGACAAAAATCTGTCTTATTTGTGCATTACAGAGGCTTAGACAATAAAAGAGATATTAGTCATGCTGAGGTGATGGCGTTTCCAAATCAAGCTTTACTTCATGTTTGTCTGGTGAGAACTTAGAACAGTTGCTGTAGATTAACACAACTTACTTCTGTTTTTAGTGATTTTGCAGTTCAGGATGAAAATGATCGGGATGACAATTTTAATAGTCATCATTTTCCCTCCAGTAACAATTGTTGCCCTGAAGATGGCGCCAGAGGTTCACACATCTGCCTCGTGATCTTCAATAGTAGCTTTTATTAAAATCATGAGATTATTTAAATAATCCACGTTTTATGTACATCAGAAACTCATGAACATCTAAACAGATTCCACATTCCAAGAAAGAGCATCTTGTGTTAAAACTCAAAAACAGTCAAACAATAATGTTGCCACATTATGAACTGTTTACATCAGTAAAGTTCAGCATTTCAGATTACAGTGCTAAATGTTGAGAGAAGACATTTTCCTTCACTGTGTGGGATTGCATCAAATTGCAGACATTAAATTGTCATTTATTGGTTCCAAGTAAAATGATAAACTTCTGAGAAACTGAATTTTGTTTTCTTAACTGCAAGACATAAACATCAGAATAAACAGTAGTAATTTCTGAAAATTCAGTCACTGTTGGTAATTTGTTAATATGAGGAAACCCCTTCACCAGAGCTTCATTATTGAAATAACATTTTTTATTTTACCAGGAGTTCCTGAGATTAGAATTGTAAAACTAGATAATGCAGGTAATTTGAAGGACTCTCTCTTTTCTTCGACTTCAAATAAAACAGCGCTGTAAAATACTGCAGTGTTTTGCCTTTTTCTGAATATTATGAGTGTTTTTTTTACTGATTAATAGAAATAAAAGTGAGAAATTAAATTTTTAATACACAAGAAAGTGGAGTAATATTCCCCGTAGGCAAGTGTAGTTTTTATTTTGGATTTTTCTATGACATTTTGCACAACACTCATTAGCAGCACAAACTTGTTCTTAGAGGAATTAAAGTAGAGAAAATTTTACAAAATACAAAAAAAAATTCTTCAGTATCTTTATATTGTTCTATACATCCAACCTATTAAATCATTTTGTTTTTTATTTCCTTCCATGTATCAATAAAACAGGTTACTCACTAAAATAATTGCCCATTTATGGTAAAGTTGAATCAAAAATGAAACCAAGGTGTATTAAAAAAAAACAAAAGTTTGATGTGATTGTTAAAGTGTGTCACTGTGAGACTCCAAAGATCATCTGAATTCAGAAATACAAAATTATCTTACCCCAAAGCTGCTTGAAATCTGCAATATAATTTTTCTATTAGCAACAAACCCAGATTATTTTGCAAGTAAATTAACTTGCAAAAGTCAATTTACTTGCAAATTAACAGTTGCTCTTAGAAGCAACAGTGTTTTCACTTACCCAGTTCAAGTCTTACTAGAAATAATACTTTCAATCATTTTAAAACATGTACAATTACTTTAAGCTCATCTAAAGTGATTCTCAATGAAAGGCTAATTGTCCAGTTTTATATTTATTCGTACGTTTGGAATAAAACGCTCCCGGAGAAAGCAGCAGTATAACGGGGTTTGGGCAGCAGCCAGCCAAGAGCAGCTCATTAAAAGCTGTAATGACCGGATACAAATCTGAAGCTAATGTCTGTAACCAAGTACGGATGATCTTTGATGTCATAATAATATAAGTTTAATCATAAAAATTGAAAGGAATATATACGTTTATTTTATGTTAGAGGACTTTAGAATTCATAAAATTTTAACATGTATACCAAGCTAAATTTAATACAAGATAAAGCTTGAAGATACTCACTGTGCTTTCATCATCTGTAACTAATTTAACCTTCACTCGAGCTATGATCTGTTTTTAATTTGGTTTATCGATGACTATGACACCCAGGTTGTTGTTAAAGACAACTCTGCCCTCAGACTCCGTGCTGCAGTCCGGATGCCGCAGCAGCTCCAACACGCCGTCTTTCAGCTCTGGTGACGCCGTTTTATTAAAATCCAGCACTTCGGTGAGAAAGTCAAGAAGCAGCTCCCCCTTCTGATCTCCCTCCGTGAAACACTCGGTGATATCCATTTGAGATGGCAGGTCAAAGCTCTGGTAGCTCACTCCCTTAGAGTCCAGGAGGCTTTTGATGTCTCCAGTGGTCACGCATTGACTTATTTCTGTATTGCAGAGCTGGTTCCTGTATTTCCGCCACAGCTTCCCCCAGCCACTCTCCCCTTGAACAGGTGGAGCAGAAACAGTGCTGGTATCAGCATGGTAACAAATGATGACAATGTTTACAAGAACCTTTTGTTCTAGACCAACAGAAAACACTGCACAGTTGAGACATAATGCACAGTTGTTAAAATTGTTTTACTAGTAAAAAATAAGTGTGTGAATTTATGTCTCCTTTGTAATAAGCAGTTTGCTGTAATTACCGAAGTTTCAGAGTAAAATGGGTGAATTGTATTTCTCATTTTTCTTCCAGTACATATTTAAGCATTACTTTGCTTTTTGTTGATCTACTCCATGGATCCCTAATAAAATGCACTTACATGTTTGGTTCTGACACAACAAAATGTGAAAAAGTTTGCCACTGTATTTCCCCTTGAACAAATGAAGCATAACAATTTCCTTCACATCAGCGAGGAATATCAAGGGCAATTGTTAATTTGAATTGACGTCAATCAACTCACCAGACACAAGAATAATAAGAAGCTTCCCATTCTTATTGAGGAGACTCTGAAAGAAGCTGATGGTAGCACCGGGATCCTTCACATAGTACAGCATCTGTCGATTTCACCACACATAATGAGCTGGTAACTGCACTCATGGAGCACCTAATTATACTGCTATGCTAGACAGATGCTCTAATGGGATTAATTGCTGCAGAGTGCCACCTAATGAATATGACCTAGATGTGTCTGAAATACAGCACCAGGGCTGGCAATACTTCAGCACCAACCTGTATCATGTGGATGAAGTCTGCCTTCTTTGTCGTCTTGCTCAGTCTCCAGTGCTCCTCAAACTCCGAGGCTGTCATCTTGTTCCAGGTGAACTTGATGTAGTTTAACTCGGGTTTCTGTGACACTAAGACTTAAGACAGATAATTAACAAATATAGCAACTGTTTTGTTTATTTTATGCAGGGAGGTATAGCCTTCTATAGAAAAGATACACACTGAGATGAAAAGTGTGCACATTCCAAAATATCAAGCTTTATTGATGTGAAAAAAAAAAGAGACCATGACAAATCATCTCCAAACTTGTTCCAGCTTTAATGTTCCAATTCACCTTGTGTTATTTGAAGAACACACAAATCGGTTAGAAAGAGGAAACAATCTGTTCAAGGCAGAGTACAATCTCCTGTTTGCACTCTCTGAGCTGATGATTCAGCATCCAATCTGCCACGACGGGAGTCTGTCAGCATTTCACATCTTGACTTGGGACTTGCCCACTCTCAAAAGTCCCCAAACATTTTGTGGACATCTGTTGAGTGCAGCCGTGCTCATGCTTCCACACAGATCTTCTACTGTCACATGCAGAAGATAACTAGCAATTGCCAGAAATTCCTGCTGCTCCTTCATTGTCCGCGCAGGCCTCCCAGCAGCCTCTCTGACCAGTTTCCATTTTAGTTTTTTATGAATCTTGCAGAAGC